GTAGCTACGATAATATTTGTATTCCGTTGTGAAATTGATATTTAAAAACACATGCGAACATGCACTGTTATAATTAGTGATGTAGGGCCAAAGTTGGGACAACAGAAGGAAAACACGGAACACGGATTAGATGTAAGAAAGATATATTAACAACAGGTTACAGAGATAGGGTAAGCGGAGCTTACTATATGTTAGGGTCCGACACTGGTAGTCGTACGCGACTCTCACTGTCTCTCTCTCTGTCACACTCTGTCACTCTCTAGAGTGCCTACTTAATATAGGCCTGGAAGAGTCTATTGTGTAGGTAGTTTCCGGTCTCACAATACCCCCCTTCCAAAAAGTTTTCTTTTTGAAAAGGAGAGAAAAAATAAAACTTAATAATTTTTCCTCTTGGGATTTACGTCGAGCGGTTAAATTTCCTTTTCCTTCCTGAGCGTCGCACTTCAGGAGAGACTTGGGGCATGTCGAGATCGAAGTGGAGATCTTGATGCGTGAGCCACAGCTTTTCGCCATCTGGCAGTTTATGTAATATGCAAGCGCCTATGCCGTACGAGCTTGCATCACTTGCGACTATAATGTCGAGACTAGGGTCGTAATGGGTGAGGGATAGGTCCGAAGTCAGAGTTTTCCTGATCTTCTCGAATGCGTCTTGGCATTCCGGGGTCCATGACCATGGTTTGTCCTTTTTTAAAAGTTGGTTGAGAGGCCCTCCCAAATTTTGCATGTTCTTAATGAACCCTTTGGTAAAAGTTAACTAGTCCGAGGAAGCTTTGTAACGCTTGAACGTTATCTGGGGCCGGCATGTTTCTGATCGCGTTGGCTCTTTCTGGATCCGGCCGATGACCGTCTTTATTTATGATGTGCCCTAAGTATTTAATCTCTGGTAAGAAAAAATCACACTTTGCCTCCTTAACCTTAAAACCGTATTCTTGTATCTTTTCAAATACGTTTTTTATATGGTTCCGGTGCTCTGCCGTAGTTTTACTAGTAACCAGTATATCATCCAAATAGGCTGTTGCGTAGTCAAGGTCGCCCAGCATGGCGTCCATGACATGCTGGAAAATTGCAGGCGCAACCTTTACTCCGAAAGCCAGTCTATTATATTTGTACAACCCGCTATGGGTGTTTATGCAGAGCAATTTGGAACTTTCTTCTTCCACCTCTATCTGAAGTTATGCGTCCGAGAGGTCGATTTTAGAAAAACATTTTCTACCATTGAGTTTACTGCAAATTTCTTCAGGGCTTGGGAGAGGATAGTGGTGATCTTGCAAGGCATCGTTTAACCCTGTGGAAAAATCTGCGCATACTCGTATTTGATTGGACTTCTTTTTTACGTAGACCGTAGGTGCTGCCCACTCGCTGAAATCTGTTTTTGACAGAATACCTGCTTGTTCGAGTCTATCTAACTCTTTGTTGATTTGTTCTAGAGCAGCGAAAGGGACATTCCGTTTCTTTTTGAATACCGGTTGTGCACTGTCCTTCACCTTGAACTTAGCTTTCATTTTAGTACATTTCCCAAGGCCGCCAGAAAAAAACCTGGGGAAATTGTTGTTTGAGTTCCTTTTTTAGATTTACCAAATTGGACGTTGTACTTTGTATCTTGCGACAAAATGTACTCATTGGGCAACAGTGAATTTGAGGGGAGAATAATTTTATGCACGAGTTCAACTCAGTTACATAAAAAATTTTTCGACAGTTTTTTCCGAAAACTTGAGTACAATGGTAGTACTTGCTCTTGTATTGCCAGTTTGTTTTATGAACAACTGTTTTTTTTTTGTATGTGTGGGTGTGTAAGAATTCGTTCTTGAATTGTTATTTGGACAGAATTTAATATTCCGTAGATGTCGAATCGCTAGTTTGTCAATGGCATTTGGTATTGAAATATATAATTTTTTTATATGTAGACGCTGGGTGTTTGGCTTTTTAAATCGCTAATGTATTAATACCAGCTTAATTTCTAGTTCAACACTGCTGTGGGAACGCGTGGAGTTTCTGTGTATTTTTTGAGTACTCTGTCGCAATTGAAATGGTAAGAACGAAATTCTCGAATCTTTCTGTCGCCACTAATGTGGGACTGGCAAAGTATTGCGGTTTTCGACGTGAATGCGTTTCTCGAATTCTTCGTCGACAGAGATGTGGGACTGGTAAGGTATTGAGGTTTCACCGTGAGTGCGTTTCTAGAATCCTCGTCGCCACTGATGTGGGGCCAAAGTTGGGACCACAGAAGGAAAACACGGAACACGGATTAGATGTAAGAAAGATATATTAACAACAGGTTACAGAGATAGTGTAAGCGGGGTGGTAGTCGTACGCGACTCTCACTGTCTCTCTCTCTCTCTGTCCCTCTCTAGAGTGCTATGTCGCCTACTTAATATAGGCCTGGAAGAGTCTATTGTGTATGTAGTTTCAGGTCTCACAATAATTAGTTTAGAATTTATCCCCTGTAGCGATGTGATTTTTTGTAAAAAATGCGTTTTAATATGGCTTGGCTGGGAATTTACTTGGCAGTCCCTGTCTGTGTATGGCAGCAGTACTCCATTTTCGACCTGATCTGTCTCTTTTAAATGTAGAGGATAACAGGAGGAGTCAGATACTTACGACAACAGTACAGGAAACCGACTATCTATCTATCTATCTATATATATATATATATATATATATATATATATATATATATATATAATGAAATGGACTAAGTCCTACAATTATTTTAATATATTTATTGTTTATAGGTTATTTTTATAGATACAAATATCTAAGTAAATGTTCTGTTTATAATAAACATTTACCGGCCTGAATGTCCGAGAAATATTCATAGAAAACATGTGTCCCCCGACAGGAAACGAACCTGTAACTTACACGGAACAATCATATAGCCTGACGGGCTATACCATTTAGCTACAGTGGAAGCGTCAGGTTAGCAAGGTCAATTTATTTATTATTATTATAAACAGACCATTTACTTAAATATATTTATGCATAAAAATAACCTATAAACAATATATATATATATATATATATATATATATATATATATATAATTTATTCAAAAATTATAACATAAATATGTTGTAAAATCACTACAAAAATATGTATATATATATATGTGTGTATGTGTATGTGTGTAGGGTGAGAGAAAAGGAAAGGGAGAGATAGGGACATGAGACAGGAGAGGGGGGAATTAAAATAAAATGAAGACAAGCAGAAAGACGGATTTGTTTGTTTCTTATTTGAATATATATTTACTATACAGACACACACACACACACACACACACACACACACACACACACACACATATATATATATATATATATATATATATATATATATATATATATATACAAAGAAATAATCGCACATAGAATCAATCAGAAGTATTAATGCGATTATTGGCGACATCCATCGCTAGAAAACATAATATATGCATTAAAATCCTGTTCATCCATAGTGCGAGTTTGATCCTCGTCGATAAACTTGTTGTCTTTTGTTTTCAGTTTATTTGATGTTAAAATGCTAGTACTTACGAATAGTCTTCTATTCATCATCAGGCATGTGTTTTTTTCCTTATAAAATCAAAAACTTGAAGAGACGATATACCTGTATGTCGACCGAAAGATGTTTTTGAATATCTGCTATTATTGACGGTTGTGTAAGATCTCGGAACGTGCAAAGACGCAACGCTAAGTTTTTCAAAATTTTAAGTGAGAATTTTATTTAAATATTTCTTGTGATGTGTTAAATCCACGTATTCTATTTTACAAAGTGTATTCAGTTTTTTATGTCATGAACTAAGTATATAGTTCAATAATATAGTGTAATGTCTTAGTAGTAGTTTTTTTTTATAGGAATTTTTTTATGTACTGCGGATCGATAGTTTTTAATAAACATAAAACATTAGGCAGCATATGATTTACATACAAAGAAATAATCACACATAGAATCAATCATATATATATATATATTAACGCTAACATTTTTAAGCGTTTAAAACAGCATGCCTGGCCGCATACACAATTTCGGAAAAATCCTTGTTGAAAACACAACTATACTTAAACATGAAAACAATAAACAAAAACTATTGAAGCTATATACATAAAACAGTTGAAAACAAAATAAACTATGAAATCTCCACAAATATATTTAAATGCCTATAATTGGTAACAGAAGCCACTGGTTTGTGCCAACGGATTCCCATACTTAATACTTCTCGAATTCACTCTCGCGTGATCATGCGTGACGTCATGATCTGCGGTGCGATTTTCGCTTCCAGCGTCTTATATGCACGTGTTTGTCGTTGCTTGGAAATCTTCCATGTAAACAGAAACAGATTATTACCACTGTCTTGTCCGTGTATTGCCTAATATATTGTACAGAAATTGTTATCTTTGATAATGGCTTACGTAAGCCGAAAGCTTAAATTGGATTAAAAAAAATATGTATCAATATTGTGATTTTCTTTCTTCGTTTATTGATAATGTTATTAAGCTTATCAGACGTTATGAAAAGAATTTACATAAAAAAAAAATGACAATTACTTGTCTATATTATTTAATGAAACATGTATCAATATATATATATATATATATATACATACATATATATATATATATATATATATATATATATATATATATATATATATATATAATGCATGTAAAAGTTTTGTCACTTAGCTGATTTATGTTGACTTCAGCATCCGACTCCAGTGTTTCTTGGACGGCCGGACATCACTCCTCCGATAATGTTCACTCTATACAATGCTCAGAAGCCACTCGAGGTAGAGGGTTACATTGTAAGAGGCACAGTTTATGAGAATATGTGTCGAAAATAACGGTTAAATCTAGACTTGAACAGGTTAAGATTGTAGTGATCAGGGAAGCATCCCCTTTTGAGTCTTGGAAGCACTCTGTCTTGGGAGATAAATCTACTGTTTGCCTATCAAGAGACGATAAACCAAAGATTGAAAGGCACGTTGGAATGAATAGTTGGAAAATTCTTTACAGAGAAAATTGAGCAAAGAAAGAAAGAAAGAAAGAAACAAAGCTAGAAAGAAAGAAATGAATGAATTCCGATAGATACTAAGGAAGTCCACGTCAAAACATCAAAGATATTTTTATATTCTGGGACACGCAAGAAATACATATATTCATAAATAAAGAAAAAATTATGAACACGAAGGAAGTAAGGAAGGACAGAAAGAAAAAAGAAAGAAAGACAAAACGAAGGAGAAATGTTATTAATAAGAAGATATTTAATTAGAAATAAAGAGATAATCATGAAAAGAACTCAGGAAAGAAAGAGTTAATAAAAGGAAAGAAAGAGTTAAAAGAAAGAAAAAAGAAAGAAAGAAAGAAAGGGAAATGTAGACAACCGACAAAAAGAGAGACAAAGAAAGGAAGAAAGAAAGGAAGAAAGAAAGAAAGAAAAGGGAAATATTTAAAAAAAAGATAGAAAGGATGAAATATAGAAATATAGAAAAAGAAACAAATAAGTTGACTAAAAAATAAATGTCAGAAAGAAAAGAAGAAAATAATAAGAAAGAAAGGGAAAAAAAGAAAACGAGGAAATAAGAAAGAAACAAAATAAAAGGAAAGACAGAAAGGTGTAAATACAGGAAAAGTAAAAAACAAACAAATGTCGACAAAAGGAAAAAATAAATGTAAAGAAAGAAAGAAAGAAATTTAAGCAGCCAGAGCTAAAATGGCGATGTCGCGCTGACAGTTTGCGCATGCGCAAACGTCCACCTCTATCTTTGACTATAAAAGAATGGGACACTTCAAATGGTAGGCATGCTATCTACATCTCATTACCGTCATTAAAACTAGACTCTCAATTTCCCTTGGCGATGTTTTAAGCGGCATCATAATCCTCTTCAACAACATCGTCCGATTTAGGCAGATTTTAGTGGGCCGTTCAAAATACATCGAGCAAAGTTCGGAATAATTATTTTTGTCATGTGAAATTAACTAAATCTGGTCAGCGATGGACATGTTTTCGCACATCGATATTCGACGAAAAAAATTCAATGAAATAATTTCTTTATTACAAGTGCTTCTTTTTGGCGTTTTTACTTTAGCACTTTGTGTGAAGACAAGTTATTCTAGTGTAGTTGGTCAATTGGCAGTTACCAATTTAATTTGAAAGATGAGCATGACGTTTTTGCACAGACAAGTGAAAACTGAGATCAACAACAAAATAGGAATCAAAATATAAAAAGAAAGATATGAGCAGACTGAGAGACAAAATCAGACTGATAGAGAGAGAGAGAGAGAGAGAGAGAAAGATAAGAAGGGAGAGATAGAGAGAAGAGGAACAAACAGAGATAGATAGATAGATAGATAGATAGATAGATAGATAGATAGATATGAAGAGATTGAGATAGATTGCTTGATAGAAATGAAGAGATTGAAATAGCTAGCAAAATAGCTAGCTAGCTAGCTAGATAGATAGATAGAAATATACATACATACATACATACATACATACATACATACATACATACATATGAACAGAATGAGATCAATAGATGGATAGATATAAAAGGTGTAGATATTTATATAGATAGATATGAACAGAGGAAGTGAGAGCTAAGCAGATAGATCTTTACATATATATATATATATATATATATATATATATATATATATAGAGAGAGAGAGAGAGAGAGAGAGGGAGATAAGATAGAGAGTGATAGACACTGAGACAATGAGAGAAAAAGATTAATAATGAGAGATAGATAAATAGATTTGAACACTTAAAGGGAGATAGAACTTTAAGCGTCTGAAAGATAGATAGATAGTGAAAAGTCTGAGATAGATAAATAGATAGATAATGAATAGTTTGAACTAGATAGATAGATAGATAGATATATAGATAGATAGATAGATAGATAGATATGTACACATATGAGCAGACGAAGAGAGAGTTAAACAGATAGATCATATGAGACCGATATATATATATATATAGAAAGAGAGAGAGAGAGAGGTAACAATGCGAGACAGATAAATAGATTTGAACAGACAGAGGGAGGTGAAGATAGATTTTAAGAGACAGACAGACAGATAGATAGATAGATAGATAGATAGATAGATAGATAGATAGATAGATAGATAGATAGATATGGACAGGCGAAGTGAGAGATAAGCAGATAGATCTTTATATATATATATATATATATATATATATATATATGTGTGTGTGTGTGTGTGTTTGTGTGTATGTGTGTGTGTGTGTACATAGGTATATAGAGAGTTTAACAATGCGAGATAGGTAAGTAGATTTGAAAAGACAGAGATAGATAGATAGATAGATAGATAGATAGATAGATATATCGATATGAAGAGACTGGGATAGATAGATAGATAGATAGATAGATAGATAGATAGATAGATAGATATATCGATAAATGAGAGACTGGGATAGATAGATAGATAGATAGATAGATAGATAGATAGATATGAAGAGACCGGGATAGATAGATAGATAGATAGATAGATAGATAGATAGATAGATAGATAGATAGATAGATAGATAATGAGATATATCGATATGAAGAGACCGGGATAGATAGATAGATAGATAGATAGATAGATAGATAGATAGATAGATATATATAGATATGAAGAGACCGGGATAGATAGATAGATAGATAGATAGATAGATAGATAGATAGATAGATAGATAGATATTAATTCATTTCATCTAAGATAGCTAAAAAATCCATCATTTTTTTTATTAATGTTGGCAAATATTTAGCAGTTGTGGTATCACCATCTTAAACGCATCTCATGTTTTCCCGCCTCCATGTCAAAGACTTGCCGTTCGTCTTCTGCTGTGAAAAGCACAACTATTTTGTCCCCACGCATTTTTTGTATTAGACACTCCTTTGTAGGCAACTCAGAATGTCCTTCAAACCTGCCGTAAACATATGTACCCTACAAAAGATTAGAGACATCTTTCCTGTCACCATTTGTCAGGCAGTAGTAAAAATCTTACGCATGCTAACATCTCCAAGCAGGGAATATTCAAATGCCTTCCTATATAAATTAATTGATGCAATTTCAGCTTGCGCAAAGATTCATCTGATAACGGCTGAATACTTACACATAGATAGAGTAACTTGCTGAAGATTCTAATAAAATGTGGTCAAAATTGTTATTATTTTATGATTCAAACAATTTCCTCTGAATGAATAACCCAATATTCGGTTTCCTTTTTCAAATCGCTGTATTTATAGGACAAATAAAAATGGTTCCTATAACAGTAATAATAATAATAAATAATTGCTTTTAGTCTAGTCGTTTAACCTATTGTAAAATTATATACTATATCTGTTCGCGTTTATTAGCTGATCTCGTGTGTGAGTCGACCTCGTGTGTGAGTCGACCTCGTGTACAAGTCGACCTCGTGTATAAATCGATTGTTGTGTTTTAGCCAATGGTAAAGTCAATATTAGCTGTTTCCCTACAAGGAACCATTTAACATTCATTGACAGAACAGCCAGTGCTAGTTCTGTTTGAAATTCATAAATATTTTTCTCTTAAAACAATTTTTTGTTTAAAGTCCTCAAATGACATGGCTTCTGTCATTTGTGACAATTCTTTGTTTGTGATTATGTAGCGCCAGATCCCAAGGTTGGAAGAAGGATGATTCTCGCAAAGTTGTTGAGTTTTGACCAATAGTAATTATAATGTTAATATTATTTGTTTCCTTCTCTGAAAATATTACGAATTCATTGACCGAGCAGCCTGTGTTGCCGAGGGATGAAATTTCCACAATCGTTCTCTTAAAACAATGATTCAAGAAAATAGTAATCTCAAGACCACTAACTGTTATAGTTCTTGCCAGTATTTAGAAAAGTCTTCATTTCTAAGCTTTTCTTTGAAATAGTGCGAAACGTCAACAACTTAATTATATTATTATTTTCTCTTCGATTTACCATTTTAGTTTCAGCTGCTGAATGTCTTCAAGTGATGTGCTTTCTGTCATTTGGTACCGTTCTTTGTCTGTGACTATATAACGCCAGTTTACAGGGTTCACAGAAGAATAGTCCTCACTAAGATATACAGTTTTCATTCGTTCAAAGTCATTTTTAACCAATGATCTGACAAATACAGCGGTCATTTCAAAGCCATCTTAAACCATTGATCTGAGAAATACAGTAGTCATTTCAGAACAATTTTAACCATTGATATGAGAAATACAGCGGCCAGTTCAAAGCCATTTTAACTATTAGTCTGAGAAATACAGAGGTCAGTTCAAAGCCATTTTAAACCATTGATCTTAGAAATATAGCGGTCAATTCAAATCCATTTTAACCATGGATCTTAGAAATATGGCGTTCACTTCAAAGCCATTTTAACCATGGATCTTAGAAATATGGCGTTCACTTCAAAGCCATTTTAACCATTGATCTGATAAATACAGCGGTCAGTTAAAAGCCATTTTTAACCATTGATTTGATAAATACAGCGGTCAGTTCAAAGTCATTTTTAACCATTGATCTTAGAAATACGGTGTTCTTTTCAAACCATTTTAACCATTGATCTGATAAATACAGCGGTCTTTTCAAAGCCATTTTTAACCATTGATTTGAGAAATACAGCGGTTAGTTTAAAGCAATTTTTAGCTATTGATCTGATAAATACTGCAGTCAGTTCAAAGCCATTTTAACTAATGATCTTAGAAATACGACGTTCAGATTCAAGCCATTTTAACCATTCATTAGAGAAATACAGCGGTCAGGTCAAAGCCATTTTAACCATTGATCTTCGAAATACGACGTTCAGATCAATGCCATTTTTAAACATTGGTCTGATAAATACAGCAGTCAGTTCAAAGCCATTTTTTATCATTGATCTGATAACATCAGCATTCAGTTCAAAACCAATTTTAACCATTCATGTTATAAATACAGCGGTAATTTCAAAGCCATTTTAACTATTGACTTGTGAAATACAGCGGTCGGTTTAAAACAATTTTAACCATTGAATTGAGAAATACAGCGGTAAGTTCAAAGCCATTTTTAACCATTGATCTTAGAAATACTGCTTTCATTTCAAAGCCATTTTAACCAGTGATCTGAGAAATACAGCGGTCAGTTCAAAGCCATTTTAACCATTGTTCTGATAATTACAACGGTCATTTCAAAACCATTTTAACCATTCATTTGAGAAATACAGCGGTCTGTTCAAAGCCATTTTTAATCATTGATTTTATGTAGCACCATTTCACAAGATTCATAGAAGTATAATCCTCGCTAAGTTATACAGGTTTCATTCAGTCAAAACCATTTTAGCCATTGATCTGAGAAATACAGTTTCATATTTCTGATCGTGATTGGTAGGAGACATGACATCCACATGAAAGCCTCGATCTGAGGATGCCAGTTAAGAACAGGACTCAAGATTTTCAGGTTGGTGTTTTGGTTTTGCAGGAATTCCTTTGTTGGGCGAAACGACCCCAAGAACAGATATTTTTTTCTCCAGTTTCCTTATATCAAATACTAAATTTGTTATAACTATACCGATGTATTTGAAGTGTTTAGTATTTACTAATTATACATCCTGAATTTTTGCGATGGATTCAGGGTAGGTGTCGTTACTGTTTTTATTCCAATTCCAGATCATAATTTCTGCCGATGTACATCGGCCTCGGGAAGTTTTCTCTAAGTAGATTCGTTTGGCTTGTATTTTTTATTTTTTTTTTGTCCTTATTGTCTTTCTCGATTTTTATCAATATATATATATATATATATATATATATGCACATTGTCAAATGGACAAAGTCCGACAATTATTTTAAGACATTTTTATGTTTATACATTCTTTATATAGATACAAATATTTAAGTAAATGCTCTGTTTATAATAAACAGTATTAAACAGCATTTACCGGACTGAATGTCCGAGAAATTTCCATACAAATTATTCGTCCTCCGAAAGGAATCGAACTTGTATCCTATACGGAACCGATTTGGCCACAGAAGAATGTTCAGTTAACAAGGTCTATTTTACACTTTAAACTACAATCATCCATGATTCTCTCACGTATATTTATGTCTGCTCATGGCGTATCCAAATGTAAACAAATGACGTCACACATTATGAAATGGACAAAGTCCGACAATTATTTTAATATATATATATATATATATATATATATATATATATATATATATAATTTTTAATCATTAATTCCAAGCAAGAAAAAAAGCCACGAACATGGTTACTGAGTGTGAACGAATGTAACAAAAAAGATTATTAAAGAGCGTAATCAATCAAAGAAAAATAATTTTGAACACAAAAGATAGCAATTGACATTGTATTTACATTTTTGAAGATTGAAGTTGAAAGGAATGCAAGAAGTCGGGAGATAGTTCCACAAGCGAGAAGTGCGAGAGAAGAAACCGTTAGCGTAGAACTTACCGCTACCGATTTCAATCTAGTACTTCATGACATCTCGATAGTAAGGAGGAAACTGCATAAAAACAGTTATCTGTCTATATTTCTGAGATGAGGTATTATGTACACTATTTATATTATTCGGACTATTATCCTCATCTTTGTTGCCATATTTATTAGAACGTTTCGGCCTTTCATTATCTGTCTATATTTCTGAGATGAGGTATTATGTACACTATTTGCATTATTCTGACTATTGTCCTCATCTTTGTCGCCATATTTATTACAACGTTTCGGCCTTTCAGACTCTGTCTATATTTCTGAGATGAGGTATTATGTACACTATATACATTATTCGAACTATTATCGTCATTTTTGTCGCCATATTTATTACAACGTTTCGGCCTTTCAGTATCTATCTATATTTCTGAGATGAGGTATTATGTAAACTATTTGCATTATTCGGACTTTTGTCCTCATCTTTGTCGCCATATTTATTACAACGTTTCGGCCCTTCAGTATCTGTCTATATTTCTGAGATGAGGTATTATGTACACTATTTATATTATTCGGACTATTATCCTCGTCTTTGTTGCCATATTTATTAGAACGTTTCGGCCTTTCATTATCTGTCTATATTTCTGAGATGAGGTATTATGTACACTATTTGCATTATTTTGACTATTGTCCTCATCTTTGTCGCCATATTTATTACAACGTTTCTGGCCTTTCAGACTCTGTCTATATTTCTGAGATGAAATTATTATGTACACTATATACATTATTCGAACTATTATCGTCATTTTGTCGCCATATTTATTACAACGTTTCGGCCTTTTCAGTATCTATCTATATTTCTGAGATGAGGTATATATGTACACTATTTACATTATTCGAACTATTATCGTCATTTATGTCGCCATATTTATTACAACGTTTCGGCCTTTCAGTATCTGTCTATATTTCTGAGATGAGGTATTATGTACACTATTTATATTATTCGAACTATTATCGTCATTTTTGTCGCCATATTTATTACAACGTTTCGGCCTTTCAGTATCTGTCTATATTTCTGAGATGAGGTATTATGTACACTATTTACATTATTCTGACTATTGTCCTCATCTTTGTCGCCATATTTATTACAACGTTTCGGCCTTTCAGTATCTATCTATATTTCTGAGATGAGGTATTATGTACACTATTTGCATTATTCGAACTATTATCGTCATTTTTGTCGCCATATTTATTACAACGTTTCGGCCTTTCAGTATCTATCTATATTTCTGAGATGAGGTATTATGTACACTATTTGCATTATTCGGACTATTGTCCTCATCTTTGTCGCCATATTTATTACAACGTTTCGGCCCTTCAGTATCTGTCTATATTTCTGAGATGAGG